GCCTGGGGTTTGCCTTAATCAAACTGGGCCTGTGGCAGTGACTTTGACTGATTGCTGTTACTGCATGCTTGCCACGTCATCTGTGCTGTCGCCCTATATCACAGTATTATATCCTTGTGTGCTGTTCTTTATGGCTTTAGCATATAGATAACATTAACTCTATAGGACAAGGAGTTAGAGACAAATAAAAGCATAAGGGAAAAAACAGATAGGAAAATAGATGAGAAAAGTAAGCAATGTCCATAAAAATGGATGTTCACAACACTGTGCTGCAGTCTGTGTTAGCGACATCACAATAGCAAACATGTAATAGTCAGTACCATACTTTCCCGTACTGTTTAAGCTCTTTTACTAAAAAGTCGTTGTGAATCAGTCACATGCTGGTGCTGACTGTGGAGGAGGCAGTAGTGTTAAACGCTATTAGATACATTATGTTACCTTTAGCATTTCTACAACATTAGCAACTGCAAACATTTGAAGCTGTAGCGCAAAGATGATTCCAAAATGCTAACATGCATCTGAGGATACCAACACAAAGTCCTTCTATACACATTTCTGACTACCTGTTATCAATGAGTCGAGGCAGAGCTGCTGGGGCAGCTGAGTCTGAAACTTCTGTTCTCTTTCTTCTCGTTTAATGACTTTCAGATATTGTTCATCTGAGATGTTGTCCTCCACTTTAGATATGCTGAATTTTCCACCAACAGCTTTTTGGAATCATATTGTGGGAGCAAAAATACAATTTTATGCCTGTTAAACTGTTGCCGCTGGCATTTCTTTAGTAAATTAAAGTAAAAATGGGGTCTAAGTGCAGAACTTTTTTAACAACAAGTTGTCTGTTATGTGTAGACACAACCTTATTTATTTCAGCTATAATAAAATACACCGGCTATGAGATCGTGGAGAGATGCAAAAAGATTATCTGTGTAGGAGATAACAATCTCTTTGTGGCGATGCATAAGCATATAGCAGACTGTAATAAATGTGTGACTAAACAAAATTACACTGAATTTCAAACCAGCAACTGGATCAGAGCATGTGTAATGGACCGCATGCTGATTTAAAGGCTTTTTCTCAGCAGGATTGGGATAAGTCATTGTCCAAGTAAAATGCTAATTATCACTCGAGCTACAATTTGTACAGGCTAATGTGGTTTGTACACTTGGCTATACAATTTTCTTTTTGTTCAATTGAATCTAAAATTAGAAGGAATGTGTGTGCACGTAATTATTGCTCTAAGACAATAACACACCTTCTTTCTGTACTTTCAGCACCGTCAGCCCATGACTGTGTTCATTATACAGTAACAGGCTGTACTGGTTAAAAATGAGGAGCATTTATTCTCTCCCCAGAGGGCTTTTGGTGTTCCTATCCGCCATTACTGTGGACGTATGCAGACACAGGGAGGAGCAGACGGGAAGAAAGGAATTATGTCGACTCCCAAGTTACTGTTTTCCTTACCAACATGTCTCTCATGTTCCCAACACATTAAACACCTGCTTTAGTTATACGTAATTTCAGTGGCATATCACCGGATATTTAATTAATATCCGGTGATATGCCATTAGATATTTAATAACTATCCAGTAACCAAATACGTCCCCCCACTTATAGCAGCGCACTTCTTTATGCGTCTTGACAACATTGTGGCTAACAGGTTGAACCGGGCATTGCTGGTTAGTTATATCTCCGGGCTGACAGCTGTACCTGACACTCCTTCACAGTGGAACATGTAAAGGCTTGTAAAGTTCCACTTCACAATAGTCACAGTTCCTTAGGACTGACTCACCAGCACCACGGATGGCTAGGATTCTCAAACCTGTTAGCATTAGCTTCAGACAAGATTACATACCTTGCGTCCCCACAACACTACATTTCATAAACAGAACAACTTTGTAGCTCTTTATGGACGTAAACGATGTTGTTTTAGAGCGAATGTACAAGTTTAAATGACTCGAGCCTTCACTTAGCTTAAGCACGACAACGGGTTAGCCAAGCAGGCCAGGCAAACAGCGGCTGCTCATAAAACGAGGAAAGAGTTCTCCTTGAGCGGTCTCTGTACTTACACAACGCATCTTGAAATCATCCAGGACACCATGTCTTCTGTATCTGTAGGTCTGTTTCAGCAGTAGAACACAGCCAATAATGATGATGTTAAACGCCGATCCCGCACCGCCGTGAACTTTTCAGCCCAAACTTCGGTAAACGAATCCAGAAACAGCTAGCTAATCTCGTCGTACATCAGCTAGCCAACACACCAGGAACACCTCACTGCAGTGTCCTCGGAGTCATAGCTACACGACGAAGCGCGTATCCTAAATATTCCTACTGTAGTCGCTCCCTCCCATCAGATTTCCTCCTTCTCTGCTTCGCTGCTCAGTTCCTGGCACAAGAAAGGTGCTGTCGTCATTAGGGAAATAAACACCCTCCCTCCGCGTATGCTATTGGCCAGTGCAGTCTGTTTACGACGAACCTGAAATTGTAATTGGCTGGCCACGTTTGGCTAGCCAATCACATCCATTTGATTAAGCAAGTGGAATTTTAAACTCAGTTACTGTGCTCCGATTGGTCTGCTGTCGATTCGTGGCGAGCTCTAGCCAACCACGAGGGGAATATTTTTTTAGAGCATGAAAATGGCAGGTGCGCGCCCTTTGACCTCCACCTTACGTTCAGTCTTCATGTCTGTAGCTTTTATTATACAACATACATTTTGAAGAACCTAAAAGTGAAAGCACGATTTTTTAAAATAAACAATGCCTTTAATCGCATAAACGTTGGAAAGCAAAGGGTTAGGTGGTTACTGTACATCAGGGTAAGTAATATTGAAACATTTCATAAAGTCCAATGGCCCAAATAAAAAGTGTCTGTTTCTTGTTGTTATGCAAAAAAGTGTTTTGTCATGTAATGGTAAATAAGCACTAGTGACCTGACTCCATAGGCACTCATGCATGCCATGCCATAACAGATGCATGGCATGCAAGCTGTTCTTTTCTTTCTTCAGTCTTTTTGGTTCACCTGGTACCAAATTCATCTTGGTCTCATCTGTCCAAAAATATTTTACAGAACTGTGCAAGCTCTGTTTTGTGGCAAAGCCTAATCTGCCCTTCCCATTCTTGAGTTTAACCAGCGGTTTGCACTTTGTTGTGAAACCCTCTGTGTTTACATTCATGACGGCTTCTGAAGTCATTTTCTTAACCGCAGACAGAATTCCACACGTTAGCTGTGTTTCATCATCTTTGTGGTTACATTCATTGTTGATTTGGCCTTTGCTATCTCTCTGATAGCTTTTTTTAGTGATGGCCTTCTTCACTTGCACTGACATCTATGTGGACCTCATATTGAGAGTTCCAGTAAACAGCCTCCAAATGCAAGTTCAACATTTGAATCAACCCCAGATTTTTTTTTAATCTGCTTAATTGGTCGTGGAATAACAAAGAACAGCCATCCTCAACCATGAAACTGCTTTTCGGTCAAATGTCCAATTACTTTTGATCACCTGAAAATGGGGACTATGTATAAAAACACGTCTGCCATCCCTTTGAATGAAAGGTAAGAATCTGCAATTCTTGATTGTTTGATTTAAACTCTACTGTGGTAGTGTACGGAGGCAATATAACACAAACTGTGTCATCGTGTAAATACTCACAGACCTAACTGTAATCAGTAGACACAAACCCATCTGTCAGCTTTCAGAATGGCATTTCTTTGTGTGTCTGCTTTAGGTAATAATAATAATAAAGGTAATAATAATCTAAGTAATAACAGCATCTGAGCTTTTACAATTGCAGCTATGAGCTTGTGCCTTTCTGTATCAGGATATTTGTAAACCCATGCAGACATGTTAGTGTATTGTGCAGGTATGTGCAGGCATGTGGTTAAGACTGGGAGGGGGGGTCTGGTTTTATAGCTACTTGTTATTCATGAAGGCGGCTGCTACAGCGTGTAGCTCAGCGAGGGAGATTCCCAGAGGAGCCTGTCTGGTCACACAATCCGTCTGGGAAAGCATCAGAGGCTCAGGGCTGAGCAGAAAACACCTCCTTACCCTTCAGCTGCTCACTGGTCTAATGTCATAGAGAGCAACAACATTAATTAGAAACATGCACATTTGCAGACAAACCAAACAGAACAAATATACTGTGTTCTGATTCCCATTACGCAAGGTGTTTGGGTCTTTCTTTGTGAGTACACTGCAGTGGTGGCGGTTGAATTTTTACTTCTGCATCCCAGTAATTATCGTTCTGTTTTTTTCAAGGCAACTTTAAAATGAAATTAAAGCAACAATCTCTCTTTGTCCCATTCATTCAACTGAAAGAAGTCAAAATAGAATCATAGACATACATAATACATATTGTTTAGTGTGTTTTTATTCAGAGTGTGAAGCCTGTAGAAATGAGTCAGGAAATATTAGCAGAGCTTTGCTGCTCAGATCAAAGTGTAAATTTCACTTTATCATTACAACAGTGACTGCCAGCTGTAAGGGTTTATTCATCACATTTTCTCAGTACTAATCTGGCCTGAACACACCCTCAACCAGCCATCGTGGCCCCCAATATACAGGAGATTGCATCAATCTCATTGATAATAATTAGAAATTATACTTTAATTGTGTTTAATCTTTTAATGGCTGTGGGGTAGAAACTTTTTTT